TTGAATGGAAGCCCTTGTTCGTAGACCTCCACGGCAAGGTCCAGTCGGTGTGTGAATATCAACTGAGTTTGAAACGTTGTTTTGCCACTGCTAGCACTGCCGGCACCACCAGCGGCGTCTTCTGTGGAGATTGCCAACGCCACAAGGAACAGGAATTCTAATGTTAATATCCACATCATCAAGGTTGGCAGCAGCATGACTGTCTTCAGTCAGTTGAGGAGTTATACTATAGCCAGCAAAGCAATTGGGCGGAGGTGTTATAAAATACCGATTACCAAGAAGCAAAGGTGTTATTACCTCGTCCTTTTTAGTTTTTGCGGAGTGGGGGGGCTGCGGTGGTAGGATAGTTCTATGAGTGGCTGCATGGTACCACGGCGCCAATACCATGCATCCCAGACAGCAGAAGTTGCTTGGATGATACCATAGCGTTTGTTCGACAGAAGCCCAGCGGAAGCCGTTCTGAATGGAAGTACGAGCATCCTTGTACTAGTAATATTTTCCTTGCCCTGAAATTTATTTATTGCCCCAGCCAGTTGGTCATTTTGAGTGCTTTAAATCCTATTTGCTGCTGTCTCTCTAAAGCAACCTTGTTGGATTTCGGTAGAAGGCGTTGGTGGCTACCAATACCCATTAAAATAATACAACATTAATTAATAAACTTTACACCGGTTCTAGCTATTTTAATAGAGTCAAGTAAGTCTCATCGAGTTTCTTTTATAATCTTTTCTGTCCGTGGCTGACGTGGAGCGAAGGAGTTTGGACTTTCGACGTATTATTAATAGCTACCGTAGTAGGTATTTTCGAATCACAATGGAAATCAATCCAACGTTGAAGTCGCACATCAAAATGGCAAACTCCTGTGACAAATCGAATCGAACGAATCTGCGAAACTCGTTTGGCCATTGTAAGGAGTTTAGGTGAGGCCTGCCTGCCTTCCTTGACCACTGAGGACCAAGACTTACTTTGTTAAAGTATTAACAGCCACTATCCTCCGCTGTCGAAGCATTCTACTTATTAGTATTTGTTTTCCTTCTGTCCCTTCTTCAAGTCGCCATTGCGCATGGCTTGGAAAAGCTCGGTTTAGTAGGGTACTGGTAGCGACACGGTGGACAGTCGTATTCAGAGTAGCCTTAACACTAAAATAGAATTCTATTTACTAGAATATCGAATCATTCCCTCCACCCTCCACGCACAGTGTCATCACCAGCTCATCTATCTCATGCCGTGCTCACATTTTGGGCCAAAATGCAAACAAACAAACAAACAACAGTCGGAATTAAAAGAGGAAAGATAAAATACTGCAAGCCAAACGATTTTAGTCAAAACAGGTCCAGCCACGCACGCACCAAAAGGCCGGTGCTATAGTACAAAAGAATCAATCTCCCGTTGGCTGCCTCTGGGCATTGCTCCGCCATCCGGTGGCACCGCTATCCTTGGACGGCATCATGTGGGACAGCCCACGCATCGTGATCCGTTAGTTAGTTTTGTGTGGGACAACGTACATCCGCCCTCCAAGACTTGGTACGTCACCCTTTGACTCTTTGAGACCATTGAGGTCTCGGACTTTCGTCATACCACGGTATCCCACAGCTCACAGGGGCAAAGTGACGTACTGTACAGTGAAGATACGGTGCGGATTCATCATTCGATTCAACTTCTCAATCGTAGCTGTGGTGCATCCAGCGATCAACCAACCAACCAACCAACCATGCGTCCAGTATTCCCCATCTTTGTGCGTCAGTCTCAATGCTGACAATTAGCGGTACCAGTACCCAGTACGTAGTTCGACCACAGTGGAGCGCAATCCTAACGTATGCGGCCAAGGCCGCCCTACCATGAGTGCTTGAGCCACCTACGTTTCAAATGGAGTGAGTGGAGAGACCTCCTACCGTATAGTACCGGTACGACGGTACGAGCTATTACCCGTACCGGTACCTCCAAGAAATCTAATCGGTTTCCGAGCCGATTGAATTCCCATTTCGCCGCATGGCATCCACCATGGTAAACTTGCTCAGTTTCCAAAAGGAAGACTCGTCTCGTCGCGTCTCGTCGCGTCTCGTCTCTGCCCAAGCATACCGGTATATACACAGCGTGTAGTCGTCGCATTATATTAATTAATTGCAGGTCACAAACTAGTAATACAGGATTCCGTTTGAAGTTGAGTTTACCGTACGTGGGTCCTAACTGTACTGGTACTGGTACCGGTACCAGTACTCCAACCTACAGTACGGTATCGTCGATCAGACCAGCACGTGTTCGACGCAGATGCACAGAGACAGAGAATCGAATCATTCAGGGTTGCTTGCACTTGGTCGGACCATTCTATATATTCGCAGTAGTCATGCAGCCGCAGATCGAGCGGAACCAACGTAATGTGAGATCCGTCTCGAACGCCAAGGTCTTGTCGCAAAGCACACTATAACAAGTCTTGCCTTCCAGCATAGTAGTACACGACAGCCTTTGGGGGCCAGCAGGCACCGGAAATGTACGGAATACCCAGGGCCTCTTGGATTGGAAGCTCGTCACAGAATTGTCACTTTGGCGTACACTGTACTAAGCCGATCGATTCCTCCACCATTGTCATGTTGTGTTGTGTTTGTCGGTTGTGTGCATGGTTGCATGAGCGAGTGGAGTGGTTTTTCAAAGAAGAGGGGAAAGCGGGCATGGGGAAGCCTGTTCCATGAAATCAAATCGAATCGAATCATTCAGGGTTGCACTTGGTTGGACCAAGTAGTCTGCAGCTGCATCACCCAGCACGCCTTGGATTGGAAGCTTGAAACTCGTCCCAGAATTATCACGTTGCATGGCGTCAACGCTACATGACGGTATGTATGGCCCGCCCCCATGGGTTAGTGCCGCAGTATTAGTAGGGCGTCTAGCTAGAAGGAGAAAGAGCAAGTGCTCGATACTAACATTAATGGCTGGTGGCACATTGGTGGACTTGACTCCGCAGTTTCTGGTTCAGTGTAGTTTATCTTGTAGTTGACAAGAACTGAGAACGCTGGAGGGCTATCGGCAACTACAAGAACGGACATCGTTGGAGACTGACAAGTTCGCTGTCGACAAGTGAGCACTAGCCCTCACTGGCTTCCGTAGATAACCCATCTATCATAGCAAGTCCCAACAAGGAAAATGAAGATACGACCAAACGGAAGCAGGAACCCCGTTGACACTCGGTACTGCTAGAGATTCGACACCGTGAACTATACGAACAAGCAGCGGGATACGCTATCAGGACTGCTCATTGAGGGAGTACCGTATTGAGCTTTCTATAGCAAAATGCGCAAGTACTTTGATTGTCTGTCCGTGGACCTACACCCAAAGAGTACCGACAGAAATTTCGCTCGATGAGTGCATCGAATTCGGGGATTTTCGTAATTTGTGAGGATATTCGAGCCTTCCGTGTCAGGACGTGATTGACTCGGCTCAACAGCCGGCGTATTCAAGCCTACAGGCATCAATGAATCACTTCGTGATTCCCTTCGGGCGACGGACTCTTCATCGGTCCGGAGTGGGAGTGTCTGGGGCAAGCTGGTTGGTTATTGGCTTTCTCTCAGTCGGGCGAGACTGAGGAAAGAGCCACCAAGGCTTGAGCTTTCCAGAGCCCCAGGAGGAGGTAATGACACATCACTCGTGAACGAAGCGTGGCTGATGCCAATCGACTCTCCTGCCATCGGGAGGGCGGGTGGAGCAACCAAAGAGTTGGCTTGATACACTGTTAGAGTGGATGAAGACGAACAATGGCTCTGGCTAGCTAGCTCAAGGTTGGGCACTCTCATCTGTCTGTCATTCGTCTTGGCCAGAGTAACAGTGAGTGGTTGGAAGTGCCATGCTACCAGGAGAGTACTAGCTATAGCTATGGGGATGATTCAATCCTCAGGATCAATGGAGCATGCAGTTACAAAAAACATGCCTTTGAAGCACATACGAGCATCTGCATCAGGAAGGTGGGATAAGATAATTGAAGCTGTAAAGAGTTGGTTTGAGGTACCCCTGTAGGGGTGACAGAGCCAGGAACTAGTGCAGTTTGTTAACTTTGTTCTCGGCTTCTTTGTATTTCATGGATACGGCCACACATGATCAAGTCGTGTGGTGTGAGCCAACTCTCTGAACTGCCGTAGAGAGCTTATGCTGGCTGGTGGAGTATAATGCCTTGCAGGACAAAGCAAGGCAGCAGTTCCGAGCCAGATCGCAGCTCGCCGTAAAACAACGCTGAAGGACAACTTGAGTCCTTACTGCGTTTGGCAGACGTGGTTAGTGCCTTCCACATCGTTACTTTTGGTTGGAATATGGCCCCCCTTCCCAAAGTCCCAAGAAGTGTCGGGGTTGCCTGAATGAGCCACTGTAGTTTCATTGACCAAAAGTTATTGTCTGAAACAGAACCAGGGTGGATAAATCGAACCAGAAGGGTTGGTGTAGGGAACCGTGACACAAGCAGGATCAACCAACACGCAACAAGTAGTTGGACTACTTGTGCTCTCAAGGCCACTATACCAACCAAGGGCAGTACAAGCCCCTGGAAAAGCTGCTTCACAATCGGCAAGGCAAGACTTAAATTAAGCCAGTGGAGCTGTGTAACCTCGGCAGAAAGGTTTCAGTGTAGAAGCAGATACCCCTATTAGCTAGGTAGCTAAAAGCAGATACCTGTAGTGCTTAGCTAGCTAGTGCTGAACTTGCGCTTAGCTAGCTAGAAGCAGATCCCCTAGCTAGAAGCAGATTCCCATAGCAAGCTAGAAGCAGATACCCCAAGCTAGCTAGAATACTAGTTATATAGCTTTTGCTAGCTTTATAGTTTTTCCTGGTAGAAGCAGATCCCCCTACTAGGATGCATGTAAATAGCTTTAGCTGGTTTAAAAGCACCACCCTAGGATACCTATTTAGTTTTTGCTGACTTATTTGTATTCTAACCCTACCCTTATACCTGCAGGGACCACCGTAGCAGGAAAAACAATTAAAGGGGTTGAGGGCTCTGGCAGCAAGACTGCCGAGGTAAATGCGTGACACCAAGCCAGAAAACATTGCCAAAATCTGAACATGGATATACTAACTTGGTTCTTGGCTTCGTTGCATTTCGTAGATACGCCCACATGATCAAGTCATGTGGTGTGAGCAAACTCTGAGCAGCCGAGGGAGCTTATGGTGGCTGATTTATTATAATGGGTGAAGGACAAAGCAAGGCAACACTTGCAAACCAGAT